TGATTCTTTCCAGTGGTAATTCTAAAAGCATTTGCACAGTAATGACACTAATAAACTGTCTCCAAATAAATGTCACTTCAATTGCCCCTTCTAAAAGAAATACAGTATAGGTAGCTATGCTGATAACTGTCAGTTTGATGGGCTATTTTCACAGCTAGGCCACAAATTACTCATACTTAATTTTTTAACATTATTTTTACCATAGGTCATGTGTGCTTGCCAAGAGAGAAAAAGATAGAAAGAAAGCAAGAAATGACCCCCTAGTGGCATGGCCACACCATAGCCCCTTCTCTTCTATTTCTCTTCTCGAGATTTCAGACACAAGTGTACACGTGCCCAGGATAATTTTAAGGCCACCAGGTCCAGGACTCTAACCACAGAATTGACCATGTGGGATCCAGCACCTTAACCACCATGCCACCTACTGGCCCTGTAGTTACATTTTGAAAAAATTCTGTCTTTGTGAGATTGATATCATTATCCATTTTATGTATATGTTTTGGTATAATTCCCAATGTAAAGTACTATACTGCTTTACTAAAACCTAATAGGTTACTTGGCTAAGCTCACTTTGTTCTACTTATTTTAATCACCGGAGCATGCACATACTCACCAGAGAGAGATGGAGAGACAGAAGGGGTGAGGGGGAAGCACTCCCCAGTGGGTTGTGGTCACACTGCAATCCCTTCTTCTCCATTTCTCCAGCCTGTTGGGATTTGGGACACACATGAACATGCATTTGTGTGTTTTTCAAGCCATTGGGGCTAAAATTTGAACAGCAGTTGACCATGTGGACGCCAGCTCTCTTAATCACTAAGCAATGGGACCTACAAGATAAGCTCATTTTTTTACAATGGCTCTCAGGAGGCTTGACTTACCCTCTGAATATTTTAATGCAAATGATCCCGAAGCTTCAAACTGTGATGCTGTTTGAGAACAGTTGAAAGTTTCAACTATTAGCCACTCACTATCTACCAACTAAAATAAGTAGGCCCACCCCTATTGAAAATGTGGCTTGGGGCCACCAGATAGCATAGCAGTTACATTTCTGGACTCCCATATAGTCAACCACGGTTCAAGTCCCAGATCATGTGGCTTGAAAATCATACTGGGCGACTGTGTGTGCGTGCCCAAGATCCCAGGAGGAGAAAGGATTTTAGTATGGCCATCCCCCCTGAGGGGTGATTTTTCTCTGTCTCTCTGTCTCTCTCTGGTGAGCACACGTGCCCTAGCACCAAAATCTCTTTTAAAAAAGAAGAAAGAAAGAAAATGTGGCCTTCTTTTTCTTTTTCTTCTAAAGCTTAACTGAAGAACTCTTTGACTAACTAAAACCATGGGGAAAATCCAAGTGAACAGTAAAGAAAAAAAATACCTTGAGTAATTACAGTTTTTATACATAATAATTGGTTTTATTTAATGTAAAATAAAATCGACTAGCAGGTACTGAGCAGTCCATACTTCCAGACCAGATACATCAACAAAATCTAGTTCTGATAGCTTATGGATATTTATTTTGTATCACCATCTTACTTTCATGAATATTGTATTTACTAGTCTCAGTCAACACCAGTTCTTCCTTCTCACCTCCTCAGGGCCTGGCTTACCTCAATGGCTCTGGCTTACATCAGGGAAAGTGCTTGCACTTCCATTTTATTCTGCACTAAAACACACTAAGCTTCAGCAAAGAGCAACACTGGTGTGTTTTAACCAACTGTGTTCTAATTGCAGACATACCAAACTAGGGACAGCATGCACTGCTTCGTGACAGGAAGATGCTTTGAGGATGGCATCATCAGGCATTTCAACCTTCTGAGGATATCAGAGTTCCACCTTCATAGTCTTTAATCACTTCTAATTTTGTTCCCAGGTCCACATTTGCCATGGCCTCTTACTGGCAACACTAGCAGTGGGTTTTTGTAGGCTCAGGGGCCATAAGGAACAAACCAACAGGAGATTAAATCAAACGCAGAGAAAATCAAGAGATGCGGTGAATGTGAGGTGCACGAGGCCGCTGCAAAGTAAAATGGCATGGTGTTTCACAGTCAGCTTTGAAAAAACACAAATATGTGTAAGTAGAAAGAGTGCTCTCTAAAATAACAGTAAATAGTGCAGCAAATACAGGAATTGGTAACATAGTCGTTTATTATTATCAAGGATTAAAGACTGTACTTAATTGTATGTGCTTTACTTTCATATGATCAGTAGCCCAAAAGGTTCGATTACATCAGCATCGCCACAAACACGAGTGCCATGGTGTGCTATGATGTTCCAAGGACTATGATGTCATTAGGCGACAGAACGTTTTAGTTCTATTATATCAGGGGACTCCCACCATGCTATATGTAAATGTTGTCTATGGCGCATGACTGACTGTGTATATTCACATAACACTTTGCATATTAAACTCTAACATTTAAAAAAATAGCTTAAAGTAGGACAAAAAATTTGCTTTCCCCAAAAGAATTCTCTTCAGGGCCTAGTTTTTCTTTATTTTTTTGTTTGTTGGTTGGTTTGGTTTGGTTTGGTTTTCTATCTTGGTGCTTCTCCCCATTCCCCTCTCACTTGGATACATAGAAATTCCATCCTGGTATAAGAAAGTGTATCATTAGAATAACTTTCAGATTAATTAGATGAAATATTACACTCACTTGAATGAGTTCACTGTCAGCCACTTACTCATTTCGGTCTCTTTTCATGCCTATTTTGGGAAATCGATGTACTACTGATAATTATGTTACATTTCAAGTATTGTTAAGAAATTCGGAGATCTTATTAAGAAACTCAAACCTAGAGTTTCCTAAAGAACATGAGGAAGAATATATGATAAGAAATGAAGAATTAAATCCCTCATTTACTTCCCAATTAACTCTGTTCAAATATAGGAAGGGCAATAGGTTACAAATGTTGGCCAAAAGGCAGGTCCCTTTGAGAGTTTAATCTTCAAGAACTAAGTATGGTAGGGAGGTGAGAGAATGGTGATGTTTCTGATTGGGAATATTTGAGCTTCCATTAACCATGTGTTCTATCTGATGTTCTGGCTAATCAGAGAGGAAGACCAGCACTAGGGAAATCAGATATGTAAGAGCAGTTACAAGCCAGGAAGTGGAGGGATTCTTTACGTTAATACACTTCTTTTTTTAAGAGAGATTTTTTGCTATAGGGCACATGCACTCACTAGAGAGAGACAGAGACAGAAAGCAAGAAATCACTTCCCAGAGGGGAAGACCATGCTGCAATCCCTCTCTTCCAGCCTCCTTTCCAGATTTTGGGCATGCACGTACATGCGCCTGGTATGAGTTTGAAGCTGCCAGGTTCAGGACTCAAACCATGGTGGACCATGTGGGAGTCCGGCAACATAACCATAAGCCATCTGCTGATTGTGCTAATGCATTTTTTTAAAGGTACATAAATCAGCTGTGGGAGTATGTAACACAATGCTCCACAATGTGGAAGCCACATAGGAAGGCCTGGAATTCACATCCCTGCACAGTACGAGTGCCCATGGTCTTGGCTGGATGGGTCCGGGGGTGAGATTGTGGCATGAGAACCCTGCTGGGGGTGCCTCTCCATCTCCCTCTCCATCTCTCTCTCTCCCTCTCCCTCTCTCCTTCTCCCTCCCTCTCTCTTCCTCTCTCTGTCTCTCTCTCTCTCCACCCCCCTCTCTCTCTTTTGCTCTCATAGAACTACAGCTCTCTCTTCAATCGATATCATTGCTTTGGGCACAGAAATTGATCTCTACAGAGTCTATCCTCTCAAAGCCTCAAGATTCTAGAAAGGCAAAGTCTACTGTAATTGCCACACTTAGTAAGGGACTTCACCTATTTGCACTTCACTGCTGTTTTATATTCTCTTTTAATCCTGTAGCTCCACCCTTGGCTTTTAGTACAAAAGTGTGTTACCAGTACTGTATTCTCTTTTAATCCTGTAGCTCCACCCTTGTCACTTTCTCTGCATTATTTCTCTGGGAATCTGAAAAATTCAATTCACACTGTATTTCAAATTCTATGGGTTAAAACTACTTACACTCTCATGGAACCTAGAGGAAAAGAAGTGAAGTACCTTCTCACCTATGACTTTTGTTTTACAAGTTTCTGAATAACCAACATCCTGGGATTGTTTTGGTTATACATACATATATTTATAAGGAACTAGAGGCAGCTATAGCTAAGATATAGACATACACATAGATGAATAGTATAATTATGTTAACAAGAGAATTTAAGAGAGGATAGGGAGAATGAGATTGAGAGACAGAAAGAGAAAGGTTGGTAGGGATTATAAAGCATAAATCCAAATTTAAAATTTTCTGAGTACTGAATGGGCTAAGAAAAGCTTTAGGAAATATTAAAACATCATTAGTTCATCTTATCTCTCTTTTAAAAATAGCTTTGTTCTCCCAGTCTTGACTCTATCTCTTTAGAGACCTGGAATTATCACAGCCTCATTCACCCTCATTCAGTGGGATCTCTGCACCTTCCTACTGAATCCAATCACATCACACTCTTTTCTTTCAACCGGGACTAACTACAGTCCCTCTATTAGTCTAAGATGCCTACTGTTCTGTTTATGCACACTTCTCTTTTGTTTTTGCTATCTTTCAGTGGCTCTGGTTACAAAGTATTAAACTTCAATAACAGTGGTTGGTAAAGCTGTGAGTATTCTAAAAATGTTCATGAAAGGGTCTCTCTTGATCACATCTTTGTAGTTCTTGACGTCAAAACTTCCAGTCAAAGATGAACAGTGCCAAGACCTAGAACATACCTCTGGTTCTATTAATATTCTTTGCTACCTCTGAGACCCTTTTCATACAATGAGGTCCCAGGCACCTGTTTTCTCTAGGGTCCTATCTTGTCTCACTACCAGGGTCATCATGAAGGTTAAAATGTAACAACACAAAAGCACACTGCAAACACTTAAGTGATATGCAAACAAAAGGGAACATGCAAAACACCTGCTGGAAACTTCCTCCCTGGGAGATGCAAATGGGACGTTGTCCTCACCTCTGGATTCATGGAACTCCAGTGTGACATGAGCATCGAATCCGAGGCTGAAGTAATTATTGAAAACATTCAAAGGAAGCTGCAATGACAAACAAAGGTAAAGTTGTGGCTAGCTCGGTGGAAAAAAATAAATAAAACCTAAAGTCAGACAACTATCTCTGGGGAAGTCCTGGGAGAGACCAATCACAACCCAAAGTAAAGGGCATTTATGTAGAGGGGACAGGGAGTTCTGGAATTAATTCATGAGTGAAGGACTAAATCAAGTAATTATCTCAAGATTTATAAATAGTGTACATATGAGTTACTCATCAGGGGCCAGCAGATGGCGTGGTGGTTAAGGGCACTGGACTCCCACGTGGCTGACAGTGGTTCAAGTCCCAGACCTAGCAGCTTGCTTTCTCACTTTTCTTCTCTCTCTCTCTCTCTCTCTCTCCCCCTCCCTCCCTCCCTGCTCAAATTAAAATAAATAAATTTAAATAAATAATTCTTAAAAACAAAACAGAGTTACTCATACAAATTATTAAATAACCATTGTGTAGATGTTGTAATAATAGAAATTTATAAGCTAAGGGATTCATACTTGCAATAGTTAGCAAGTAAATTTAGAAAGTAAATTCAGGGCCTGGCAGGTAGCATGGTGGTGAAGGCGCTGGACACCCACATGACTGACAGCAGTTTGAATCCTGGACCTGGCAGCTTGCTTTCTTGCTTTCCCTTTCTCTCTTGTTCCAGTCAAATTAAAAATAATAACAAGTGGAATTAAATAAACAATACTTTTTTAAAAAAGGAAGTAAATTCAATTATTAGTATCTTGTCTAACCTATTTAATTAGCAAATACACTTTTTTCAAGGAGTTAAATTCAGCATATGAATGTTGCAACCTAAGATGAATGATATTTATCTATTATCTAGTTTCAAAAAATATTTCTTATTCTACTGTTGACCTGTAGGAGAAAAATATATATGCATATGTACACACCAATAGCATTATTTAGGTTCCCATGTAATTTATCAAACCTTGTATCTTTAATATAGCCAGGAAATCTGCAAACGTGGCCGTACTGATGCACAGGTGAGCCCTAACTTTTCTCCCCAGAGTCCTCTGTTTTCCTGCCTGTTACTGCCACAAGTGGAGTGAGGCAGAGAAGGATGCAGCCTAAAATTCCCCATTAAAAAACAAAACTGATGGGATTATAAAGCGTAGCTGTAATGTTAGGAAGGTGTATGAAAAATGCTCGAAAAGAAAGCCATTCTCCACTTTACCTTCTGCAACATGGATTAGAAGATAAACGTTAGTGTAATTAAGAGAGGCAATATACTCAGATAATTATCAGGTTTATGCTCCAAACTGAACTGTATCTGTCTTCTATGAGAAACACAAGTTAGTGTTTTAACCCACAAGATTTGAAAAGTAAATTTATTACAGTGCTCATGTGCCCCTAGATAAGTAAAATGCTCAGTTTTGATCAAAGGGAGAATTTTGTCCCACTAGGAGAAAAATAAAATGAGAGAGAGGACAAGAGAGAGATTACGGTAGAATGAAATTGGATTGTCTTGGTCTCTAATGGGCCAGGAATGACCCCACCTGACAGCCGTGAGTAAGAGCTTACAATGATTCAGAGGCCAAACCTTCGAAATGGTTCCAACTAATTGGAGAACACGAAGAGAAACAACACACAGAATAACGCCAAAGTCATGTCTACTCCTCTGGCTTTGCAATTGAGAAAGTCCAGTTCTTGCACTTCAACAAAATATCAGTCCTTAGCAAGGACAGCATGGGTTGGTAATCTTGCCAAAAGCAGAAATACATTCAGATACTCTACCATTTACGTTCCTTTGGCTACAATTCTAACCCATGTCTTAGTATCCATGAAAGCTGAGGAGAACATCTGGTCCTCATCTCCTAAATAATATCCCAATTAAGTCTGTTTTTTAAGTGATTCACATTTTCCATGAAAATTTGCCTCAATTTCCATCTCCTCAAAAATCCATTTTCAGAGCCCTTTAATTATCTGGATTGATATTCCCTGGCTACACTAAGAACTCTTTCCATTTCGTAGGCTGTTGGGAAGAGAATTAAATATGGATTTCTACTGCAGGCCTAACCATTCCAAGTTTAGTGGGAAAATGACCTTAAAGTTTCCATATGGTACTCTTCATCCTCCTTTGGCTGTTTGTATTCAATGTCTGTATGTCAAATACATTAGAAAAAAGTATCACATTCCAAGATGATCCTGTTATTTTAATAATATTATAACATTATCAACTTAATTCAACTGAACGATTGTGGTATCTACCAGAAACTTTATTAGTTTTTAGGACTACAGTTTAGGTGGAGAGAAAAAAAGGGCAAATATACATACATATATATATATATATATATATATATATATATGTATATATATATATATATATATATGTGTGTGTGTGTGTGTGTATAATTTATTTAGAGAGAGATTTTTGCTGTAAGGTGCATGAACTCTCTGGAGAGACAGAAAGTGAGAAATCAACCCTGGGCGGGGGATGGCCATGCTGCAATCTTTCCTCCTTCATTTTCCTCTCAGGATTTTGGGCACACACATATACACACCTCACATGAGTTTCAAGTCACTGGGTCCATGACTCAAACCGCCTTCGGCTACATGGTAGTCCAGTGATATAACCATTATGTCATCTGCTGGTGCCAGCAAACTATATTCTAACCTATTTAGCCAAACAGGATACTTAAGTAGGTATCACAAGTGGTCAAAGCCATGGTGCTACTGAGTACATGGATGGGTGTCATTATGGTCTAACATGAGAGGGGAGTCAATCTATTTCAAGGTGATAACATCCAGGGAATCTTTGCCTCAATCCACAGCCTGGTTCTACTTAGTAGGGGTACTGTTTACAGTACATATGCCTGGTTCTTAACTCTGCATTTACCTAATCAGAATATCTAGGAAGTGGGTCTTGTAATCTGCAATTCAACACACACACCTGGAGATTCCTATGCAGACACTGAAAACACCATCATAGAACAAAAGTGGAAAGAAATATAGAAGCAACAGTTACTCAGAGACTTAAATTTATCTGAAATTGGGGATAAAACCTGGAACCAAATGTTCAAGTGAAGTTTTACAGTAGCATATTTATAACTGTGCCCCTCATTTTGTTCAGGGTGAAATGAAAGTTTAATCACTAAAAGAAGACACTAAGTGATAACATTTATTTAGGCATCTTCAAGTCCCAACCAAGTGATGAAACTAGCATAGTTAATATCTTCCAAACATAAAAAATATTTCATGTCAAGCCAGAAAGCTCAGGAAGCTACTGAAATACATGTCTAATGATTCAGAACATATTCATTATTTTATCTTCTCATAGATAAAATTTAATTTCTTGCAATTAACTCAAAAGATTAAAACATGGGGCTAGCAGGTAGCACAGTGGTTAAGGCAGCTGGATCTCATAGTGGACTACATGGTTTGAGTCCAGCTTGGAAGGCACTCTGGACCCATGTGGGTGCAAGCCCAAATATCCTCAGGGAAGAATGGAGAAGAATTGCAGTGTGGCCATCCCTCCAAAGGGGTGATTTCTCACTTTCCCTCTTTCTATCTCTCTCTAGTGAGTGCACCCACCCAATTTCAAGCCAATAAATAAATAAGAAAGATTGAAACATGAGTACATGCCTTTCGCATGTGAAAATTGAAGACAGAACAGCTCCCTGAGCTCTGGAAGCAAATCTGAAATCTAGGTCTTTGACGGTCTAAGGGATGGAGTCATTGGGTAGTATTATTAGAGTCAAAGCTCTAGTAGCCATAAACAAAATCACTTTCTTGTGATCTCATAGGATGGAATCAGCCCATAACTCTCCAGCCAGAAACGTGTATCTGTGACTTAGGCAGATGCTCCAGGGTTCCTTTCTGCTGAGGAAAGAACTCTCTAACCTTACACACACCATCTTCAAGCTCTTCTGGAGGCAGGTCTGGGTTTCTTTCCACATGGAGGTTCCAGCGATCTAGCTGTACAATCGTCCCATCTTCCACTTGGCATAGGATCTTAGACACAGGTTCATCAGTGTAGCCCTGAGGAATCAGAGGACACACCCATTGCTGTCTGGAGTACTGAACAGTGCAGCCCATGTTTTATGCAAAGAGGAGCCCTCTTGCTATAGTCCTATGCATTGTGTAATCAGTGAGCCTGGGAGAGTAAGCTGTTCTTGAGGTACTCAGGGTGTAAGATGACACTCATGGGTAAGATGCATAGAAACAATCGCTCTGGCTGGTTTGATCTGAGCAATCGTTCTGGCTGTCACCAGGAACCAAGAGTCATCTATACGCATCAAGAGCCATGTTGGATGGCTACTTGTATCAGAGTAAAAGTCAAGACTTTGTGCCTCTAACTAGAGGACTCTGGGAGATATGCAACAAATGTATCCACCTCTCCCTGGCCATCCCTTCCATGACCCAGGGTAGTCTGACTAAGGAACAACCCTTGTGGGGAGATATTTACTCCTTGGGGATCCATGGTTGACAGCATGTTTACTAAGCATGGTCAAGTTGTTAATGTGGATGTGAAAAGTTAACACTAATACTTAGTTGCCTCATGTTGATATATTTACTATTTGTACACTACCTACTTTAAAAAAAGAAAAAAAAAACAAAAAAAAAAACAAAAAACACTTTCATTGACCCAAAGGCCAAATTGATATATGCTACATCGGAAGATAATCTTTACAGAGCCCAGCCCAGGAAGTGGTCTGCAATGAGTAGATAAAAAGTTGGCGGGGACATATATGTTATGTATATGTTAGTACACTGTGCCTTCTTACTATCTAAGTAATATAAACTAAGTAAACAAAGGGCTAGTTAGTGACACGAGAAATATTAAGCTGTCAGGAAAGTCATCACATATTTTTCCAAGTGTTTCTATGCAAAAACGCATCATGACTTTCCAGACAACCAAGCTTGTCTGAAGCTGGCTCCCCTCATGATGAGGCTGATGAGAAAAACCAAATGCTCAACAGAAGTTGTAACTCTTTCAAAGTAAGAAGTCTGAACCAGATTTTCTATTCTGGACAAAACTGAGGATTAGGATTAATTCAAATCTGCATAATTGCTTTACAGGAAGCAACTCTCCCACTGGTTTTTAGTGGATACCTCAAAAAGTCCTAGGCATGTGGAATATCCACCATATTTCCCTCACATTAAACATTCCTTTCCTTGTAACTGTTTATAAGTTTAAACTGAAGAAGACTCCACATAAAACCCAGGGTTCCTGGGCACTCGGATCCCCAGTTCCAACATAGTCCTTGAGCAGCAGCAGAAAGGACTCCGCCTTCCTTTAGACATCATGGATCAGAGGACTCTGTTGCTTGCTGAAACAGGCAGCCCTCGAGAGTTCTTACCCCTCCCCAGTTGAGAGTTCGAGCCAGGTCATTCCCAGTCCCCAGAGGAAGGACCCCCACAGGTGGCTGAGGACTCAGCTGCAGTTCATCCAGGATGGAAAGGATCCAGCCCACCTGCAGACACATCGGGGGCCAGAAGAGATATAAGAAAGATAAATAAGCTACAAAGAAGACAACTTCAGAGAAAGTTTTAGAGAACTAAACAGAATGTTTTTATTTTTCTGTAAAACATGTATGATTTAATCCAGTGTGGGAAAAACAAAAAAAACAAAGCCACTTAGGCAGTTTCAAAATGGTAAACCTCTCCTAGGGAAAAATAATCATTTGGTGCATGCTTTATCATAAACCAAATTAGACCCATTCATCTGTGTGTTTAACTAGAGATGTACTTTGAAATTTAGGAAAGTTAAGGTTTAGGGAATTCATATAATAGGGCATGGGAGGGAATGCAAGACTCGAAATCAGACTAAATTTCAATTCTGGCTCACACTGACTGTATAACCTTGATTAAATTATTTAATCTCACTAAGACTCATTTACTTGATTTTCAAAATGGGGATAATAACACCTCCTCATAGGATTGTTTACAGATTAAACTAAAATGTATATAAAACCCTTAACTTGGTATGTGGCTCATGTAAGCACTCATTAAATGAGTGCTCAATTAAAATAGTACCATCTTGGAAATTAGTAGTGTTTTCCTGAATATTCCTATATTCTTTTTAATGAAACATTATGAACACATAATTATGGGTGGACCTAGTACCTATTATAAATTTAGGCAAAAAATAAACACTTATATACTAGAATTATATTCCTGTTTAATCTTTTTCTAAGATAAATAGTACCTTAGGTTTAGTCTTATTATAATTATTGGGTTGTCAGAAAAGCCATGATGCATTTTTGCATTAGCAAAGCATGTCATGACTTTTCTGACAACCCAATATTTAGAAAAATTATACCAAAAGAAACTTACATATCCTTACAAAGGCGTGTTATTGTAGAACAGGATTCCCCAACCCTACCTAAGAATGTTATAACTGTAGGCTCACATGAATTTCTATGCATAAAGATACGAATGTCAGAAGACAAGCTTACTTTAAAAGTTATGGTTGTGGGGTCAGCAGGTGGCATGTTGGCAAAGGCACTGTACTCCACCTGTCCAACCGCAGTTCAAGTCATACACCTGGCACCTTGGAAAATCACACCTGGTGCATGTGTGTGTGTGGGTGTGTGTGCACGCACGTGCGCGCACACCCAAAATTCCAGGAGAATAATGGAGGAGAAGGGATTATTACATGGCCATCCACCCTGAGGGTTGATTTCTCACTTTCTCTCTCTCTAGTTCTGTCTCTCTCTAGTGAGTACACACACCCTATGGCAAAAACCTAAAAAAAAAAAAAAAAAAGTTATGGTTTTATTCTCCCATAGATCCTTAACCAATCTTGTTTCAAATTGGAAAAAATATTGTGGTATGAACTTCATTATTCTTTTCCTCTACTTTTAAGTCAGCATTGCCATCTTGCAATTTCACTCATTAAAAAGCTAACTATATTTTTGGGACCAGCAGTTAGCATAAAGGCTATGTCGCTGGACTCCCATGGAGTCGACCACGGTTCGAGTCCCGGACCCGGTGGCTAAAACTCACGCCAGGTGCGTGTGCGTGCATGCTCAAGATTCTGAGAGGAGAATGGAGGAGAAGGGATTGCGGCATGGCCATCCCCCTTGGGGGGGTGATTTCTCGCTTTCTGTCTCTCTGTCTCTCTCTGTCTGTCTGGTGAGCGCATGTACCCTATAGCAAAAACCTCTCCAAAAAAATTAAAAATAAATTTTTTTTTTAATTTTCAAAAATGTTTAAAAAGCTAACTATATTTTTGACATCTATTCAGTCTGCATTTGTGTGAGATTCATGATTTTCAAAAATACTACTTTAAGAATACATTTATTGATCAGTACGGTTACCAGCAAACTAATTCCAGTTGAGTCTACTCACAGTCAACGAAACAAGCAGCAGAAGTTGGAGAAGGAAGTTTATTTGTGCAACTGGGTTATAGGGAGACAGTCAGCAAACACCACCAAACTATCTCAAAAAGTTCAGCACGTGGTCAATATTTATAGATACAAGCTATAAGCATGTGCAAATCACCCCTCACTATTATCAAAGTCAATCACTTTCCTTTGAGCAATTATCCTGATTCCTAGTTTCTCATCTGACCATTCCTCAAACAGACCTTCCCATGACTCAGCACTTGGTCAGATGGTTTGCTTAGACACCCTTCCTAATTTGGGGACCAGCAGATGGCAGAATGGTTACATCACTGGACTCCCACATAGTTGACAGTGATTTGACTCCCAGACTCGGCGGCTTAAAACTCAAGTCAGGTGTATGTGTATCCATGCCCAAGATCCTGAGAGGAGAATGGAGGAAAAGGGATTGCAGCATGGCCATCCTTCCTCAGGGGGTGATTTCTCATTTTCTGCCTCTCTGTCTCTCCAGTGAGCACAGGTGCCCTATAGCAAAAAAGTCTCTGTCAAACCACAACAAAAGATAAAGTATATGAGACTGAACTAGTGAAATAGCATTTTATGACTTTTGTCTAAAACATTGCTGATTTTCTTCTAGGCTTTCTTTTCTAGTTTTAAGGATTTTTGTCCTGTCTTGAGCTGTCGATAGGTTCATGAACCTACTATTTGAACAGAATCCTAACCTGTTTCCTGGCTTTAAGTTTTAGGCAAAGTTCCTTAGCATTTCTATGATTTATTAAAGTTAAAACTGCTCTTCTTGAAATTAAAAAATATATTTTAAAAAATTCTCTGTCAAAAAAAAAAAAATCCTTTCCTAATTTCAAAATGGTTGCAGTCTTGCTAAAACTCAAGCTAGCCTGCTTCAGTATTACATACATAAAACACAACAAGCAACTGAAATAAAGCGATAAATGAGTTAGGCTGAGATACATAAGGAAGAATGGCTGCTCTCGGGGAGTTTACAGTAACGAAAGGATTGACATGCGAATTGCTTTCTATGTGCTACCCTTGAGAAAAGTCCTTTACTGAATTATCTTATTACATTCCAAAACAACTCTATAAGACAGATACAGTTTCAGAATTTGAGACTCAGAAAGTTAAATGACCTGTTTAATATCACATTGTTTATGTAGCAGAGCTGGCCTTAAAAATTAGGGATGCCATCAACAGCCAACCTCTTAACCACGACATAGGGAGCCTTTGGCAGGAACTTCAGGTTCCGATGAGTCTCCAGGAGTCACTGCACCTCCAAACAGTGCACCTGATGAAACCATGGCACCACATGGACCTCAGGATCGGAGATCTCAGCTTCCTGGGAACATGGGTTCTGACTGTCACCCCAGTGGTACTCCTTCACAGAAGAAAAGCCAGGTTCATAACCTGATGTTCTAACAGAACATTTATCACGTGAAAGCCATGAGTGATGGCACGAGAGGTGAACAGACTTCAGGACCATGATGCACCTGCTGCACAAGAAATTGACAGTGCAGAAGTTATTTTCAGTGCCAGAGTAGAGTGTGCAGTCCCAAACATGTCTGGAATTGCTGCAAAGAGACTTGGAATCAGTATTTCCAGAAGAAAACTAAAAAGTAATGATTCTGTAACACAGAAAATGAAGAATGATATGATCATGTGAACTGAAGAGGTAGAAACTGAAAGAGAAACGCTCTTAGGAAAGTTTATCAATGGTGCTAAGAAAATTTGCTATGCTCTTTCAGCTAAAGGCTATAGGGCTGGCCTTACTGACCCATCATCTGGCTTAACTTCTGTGTGTGTGTGAGACAAACAACGCTCTTTTTGAAACAGATGAACACTATTGACATTTAGGATTCTCTGTCGATAATCTTGGCTGCTGCAATGTGATTCCTTATAGTCTCTGCCGTACCCATGTAGTTATAGGAAGCATCTTCTCTAATGTAACACCAGACAGCCACATTATGAAGAAATTAAGTGGAACTAGCAGTAATGTCAATGTATTCGCTATATTGTTTGTATGTAACAGTTGAGTTGATCTATAAACACTGTCAAAGACTTCCATTTTTAAAATATACTTATCTCTTGGTATTTATTTCCACATGTACAAATTTGCAACATTGGCACAGGATCTGAGATTCTGAAAATGCACATGCTCATACTCTCACTGAATATAGGTGGAGCACATCCACGCTGGACAGAATGTGGCCGTTAACCTGTAACCAGGGTATGCGCTCTCACTGTGCTCTCTCCCCTTGACTGGAAAAATCTGTTACATAATCATTTTTATTCAAAAAAATGATAATTTAATTATGAAAAAATAATCAAAATAAAGAACTAAACCCAATTCTGGATATCTCACTACTTCCGAGCTAGGAAAATGCTTAGAATTTATTTAATCAAATTCAGTTAATTGGCAGACTTATTGAGGGAGGTGCAGAGATCATGTAATTTTCTTAAGACTAACTAATTAGAAGTAGCAAAGGCAGAGTCGTTCCAGTTTCTCAATTTCCATTTAAAATTTTCTCTTCCACTTTCCAGGGAGCAAAATTTCCCCACCAATTAAGTCTAAAATTTTATTTTCAAAAAAGACACACCATTTATACAATGTACTAAAGGAAAACTCCAGACCAGGCCATAGAAGTGTCACTATGTTTGCACAATGCAGTAAACTAAAACTCCAGACCTATGAAAGTGTCAGAAAGTCTATGCATTCCTTCACACTGGGCAATTTGCTCTTAGACAACTCCTTAGATTCCCAAAGCCTCCTTGGTTCTCGTCTCATACACAGTATCAACAAAGCTTGCTACTGAAATAAAAGAAAACAGAGATGCCAGATGCTGAGTGAGTTCGGATGACTATGATAGACGCTGTTTCTGCTGTACTAAAAGCACAAGCTGAGCACAGTAAAAGCAGATAGTTTTCATAAGCTACAAGAAGGGGGTTTAAAGGTCATCGAGCAGGACGCACACACTCAGAAATAATGGGTCAGTGACAGCGGATGCAAACAGCCTTGAGTAGAACCAGACCCGTAGATAAGACACAGAACTCTGTAGAAATGTCATTCAACACCCCACCCAGAAAAGAAAGAAGACAGCATTCTCTTCAAGGTGTCC